TCCAAATCCTGCAGCCGGTTCCTGCTCTGCTTTCTCCATCACGCCCAGCCTGATGAGCCCTCCCCTGCCCACACCTCCCAGCACGGGCAGCCTGCCCCTCACTTGCAATCTCACCCTGCCTCACCTCCCATCCAAGCAACCCAGGCAGGTCCTCGGCAGAGTGTCGGGCCCCGGGGTCAGCCACAAGCCTGGGTCTCCTCCCAGGGAGCCACAGTGGTGTACGTTAGGACAGACACGGACACACGGATGGGTCCTGGGTGGGCTCCTCCCGCCCCCTTCCTACTATGGGAAATCGCAGCCTGGCAAGGGTCTGCCCCGAGGTAGAATTTCATCCGTCTTCTTCCTCCCTCTGCCTGCAGCTCCCAGCATCACGTATGTGAAGAAGCCCTTTAGAGTCTCCTGACATCACTGACGAATTACTGCTCCCGGGTGTTTGCTGAGATGGCCACAAGATCAACTCCCCTGCAATTTTAGTCCAACACAAGTGTCCATTTAGAAATGTCTCTGTGCCTCCTTCTTTCCAGAAAATGGAGACGCGGGAATTCTGCTCCCCCTCCTCCCCGCTACAGCTGTCAGGAAGCTTGGGGGCAAACTGAGCCCCCAGACTCTCGGAGGTGCCTGCTCCCATACATTCCCTGGGCTTCCTTCCTTTCAGAGCTCTTTGTTCTGTTTTATCCCCACAGGAATGGTCCTATCCTCTGTTTTAACCTTTAAGGAGAAGGGGGAGGGATCTGCCATTTATAGCCCGGGCTTAAGAGTACAGGCTGCATGACTCAGATGGCCTGTGGCCCCAGGTCCCCGCTGCTGCTCCCAGTTCCTGGACCAGTTCTTCCCTCCCTCAGGGCCTCAGTCTCCTCTTCCGTAGGGCACGCTTGAGAATGACTCCTAGGCAGAATCACTCATAGATCGTGTTTGTGGGGATTCATAAGAGTATTTATGCAAAGCATTTGCAACTCTTCCTGGATCTGTGTGTAACTCTTGCTGTCTTCATGTAATACGCATTACTCTGTACCAAATAATTGGGAGGGAGGTGTGCTCTCACATTCTAACAAGTGTTCGGGGGGGGGCCATTGTTGGCATGTCCGGGGCATTTTACACATGGACCTAGGAGAAGCAGAGTTGACGGGGTTACTTTGTTGCCCCAACCTCAGGAGAGTGTCAAAGCTGGGATTTGAACTCAGTATGGGCGTCTGTTCCCTCCACTTGCCTCTCTGGGTCAGCAGGGTCGAACCAGCCAGGACCTCCCATGCCGGACAGCTCTGTGAGGGTGGCCACAGGAGCTGGATGGAGCTGGGGGGCTTCCCTGTACCCGTCCATTCACCTCTCGGACGAGATGTATGGATTACTTCAGTGGTTCTCAGGCCTGGCTGGACTTCTACGCTCACCTGGGACTGGTGAGAGATGCGGATTTCCGGTCTGCACCCCAACCTACTGAACCGGGCTCCAGGAGAGTGAGCTCCACGGATCTGTGTTCCTAAAGCTCCCGCAGCGATTCTGATGTGGCCAGCCTGGCCTTCACTATTCTGTGGGTGACACTTGACCCAAGTCTGGTATCCAGGGTGCCTCTCTGCCCCACAGGTCTGAGCCTGCTCCCTCCATGGCAGCCTCTATTTCCTGTTTTGCCATCCTTTTTCTATTCTCGGTGGTGATTCCAGGGGAAAGCAAGATTTGGTTAGCTTGGTTCCCTGTACTCTGCATTCAGGTGTTCTTGAAGTTTACACTTGTCATAGATTTATGTATTTGCTCACATTTCATTGAAAGTCTTTACGTACACATTTCATTATTCCTTTTTTCACTTCATTCATTCTGTGTTTTTTTGAATGTTACCAACAAACAAATGAATACTCAATTTGAAAATTGCAGGTAATTTAATGAAATAATAAACAAAGGTGTGCAGGCAGAGTTAAGGGACCCCAGAGAGGGGATCTACAGAAACCCTGAGACTGCATCTGCTAAAAGGCATTATCATTATCATATTGGAAGTTTCAAGGGACAACAGAAGTTATGAGAAAGAGGTGAGAGTGAACTCAATCTCAGAGGCTGCACTGGAGATGACTTGCACCTCTCAACTTGGGAAAAGCAGGTAGGGAAGGCACCACACACTCAAGTGGACTGGCTGAGCTGGCCATGTTGGGTGGCCACTACCTGCATCCTGAGGAGGAGTTACCCAGTGATGGACAGAGGCAGATACTAATCACTCTTGCTCTTCCACACTGCCAGTCACTCAGACTTGGCAAGACCAGCAATGGCTTCCATATGCCAGTTGCTATCTGCTAGTCCAACTTGGCCCGGGTCTTCTTCCAGGCCCACTCAAATCTGCCTTCTGCAGCCCCATCCCAATGACCAATTTTGCCCCTTCCTGATGAATCCCTCATAATTCTCACAACGCTTTGCCTATGGCCACCTTGCTGCAGCTTCCCTGAAAACCCCACCCCTAATCCCTCTTCTCACTGAGGGCTGATACCATCCCCTACCCCATCACAGGAATCATATTGCCAACACTTGTCTCCACCCCTTACAGAATTTTTTGTCTCCTCCACTCTCCTCCAAGGCCCAGCTCCTTCCTGCTCCATGATCTGGTCCAGGAAGCTCTCCTTATCCACTCATCCTCCTATGCAGGTAATGGAGCCCTGGGTTCCACCTCTCTTCATTCGGTCTGTCTCTGATTTGCTCAGGGCACAAGTCTCTTCCTTCCAGGTAGACATAGTGGCCTGCACATTCTTGGTGCTGGATCCATTAAAGGATAATTTTTCCTAGCATCTGGCACTGTGACTGGGCTTAATAGCATGGATGTTGTTTGCTGAGAGGATTACTTGGGATGGGAGAAGTGGGAAATGAAGTTCAGAAGGGACATTCATGGTCTCTGCTATTACTGTCACATACTGAATATCTGTACACAGTCATGGTGCCATTTGGTGCCACATATATGGCCTCATTTAATCTTTACAATAGCTGCATGGGAGGGGACAGTAGTTGCCATTACTAGTTTATTGATTGGGTCCAGAGATGAACAGAAGGTGGTTCCTGATCACAGAGCTTGTCCAGGACAAAGCGAAGACTTACCAGACCTTCCTTCCTGGTCTCAGCCTCCCCGCCAGAAAGATGGGAGGTATCCTAGGCACAGTGCTGCCTCAGAAGGCTCAGTCCTTAGAGCTCCTTTCTGTTATCTCCAGACTGGCATCCTCTCCTCAAGGCAGGTGCTGATTTGACTCCCACCTCTCCTGTTCCTCAGAGCAGAGTCTACTGAATCATCAACCCACCTCTATAGTATCACATGTACCCCAGGGTTTATTGACTGAAGCTTGGCCTGGCCCTGAGGCCACAGCTTAGAACCATCTGAGCATGTAGCCATCTCCACCTATGTGCCTCTCACACATATAAACAAGTGCATATGCATACACATCTCCAACCTTCACAATCATGAGCTCAGTGTACCAGGCCTAGTTTACAAGTACTTTCCCATTGACTGTCTCACCATTCACCAAAGCTGTCATTCTTGCAGCACCTCGTAAGTACCAGGGAATGGTCTTGGTGGTCCTCACCAATCATCTAAACTTACACTCAGAGATCAGTGTTGCTCACATTTTACAGGCAGGATACAAGGCTAAAGAGGCTCATGAGTGCATCCAATGGCACACAAGCACCATGTCAGATAGCCGAGAGCGGGGGGTTAACCTACTTCAGAGGCAAGAACTCCTTCTGCCAGAGCACTGATAGCCAACTCATAACTGTCCTTAAATGTATACATAAAATACCCGTATTTGTAAATATGGATGTGTGCTAATGTGCGTTTATGCAGATTTTACTAGCACACACCATCTGTTATTCATAACACATCTATTCACAGGAAGAGAGTAGATCCTTTGTTCTCTTGGGTTCCCACAGTCCTTTGTGTGTCTTCTCAGTGCTGTCATTGTTTTCCTCTGGCCTGGCCATGTCCTAAGACGACACTCCAGCACCCCACACAGGGTGAATACTGTAGTCACTATGGATACTGTAGTCACTAGTACATATTGGTGGAAAGAACATGTACATGCCTGAATGAAGTGGGCGATGTACAGAGCCTCTGACAAGTGCCAACTGGAGAATCAAAGCCAAAGCATCTACCATTTGGAAGCAAAAGGTATGCTGTCTTCACTCTCTTTTTGAGAAGCAGCTCAGTAGTTTCAGTGCCTAAATATGGGACCCCAAGTGACCATGCCATCTGAGCCACCATCCTGAACTTGTGCTATGTGGTCCACCAAACCATAAAGTTGGCAGGCAAAGTCAGCTAATCATCATAGGGCAGAGCAGGCCCTAACGCTGATGCTATAGGAGGTTCGCCTTCACTGTCACATCTACTCCCACTACATACTGCTTTCTCGGTTTCACCCATCCCCAGGACACTAGGAAGAGTTCTTGATAATCAGTCTTGAGGAAGAAAACAAGCCCTGGACCAGAACTGATGCACTGAGTGATAAGAAACTAGCTGGAAAGGGAGCTGTATACTTCAGCCTTACCTAGTTGTCACCCAATTGTGACCATGATAGCAATTAAGGGAGATCCTTGGAGGGGCCATGCATCTGGCCAGGGACACTCATAAATAGCAATTAATTTAGGCCAGATGGTCAAAGACCAGGAAAAAATGAGACTGGAGAGTTGATAGCAATAACAATAATGCAATGAGAAAGACAGCACACATTCTGTGGAAGGCACAGTACTAACTGCTTTGCCTGCATACATGTTGAGGAGTAAGTGAACAGGACTCTCAGAGCGGACTGTGTGAGAATACGTGTCTCATGTGAACACTCACCTGCAGGACCCATGGTGAGCTGGTCTGTGCAATTCTGTCAATTTCTTTCTCAAGACATCATAATAAGTCATCAAACAAAAATTGCCATAGTAGAAGAGATGCATGTTATATATGGGTTTAATACGGATTTACCTTCACATTTAACTTTTAAAACATTTTATTTAGTCATTATTAACCCTGTACTGAATAAAAAAAGGTGAGATTTGTATTTATTCCTTTTTATGTATAAAGCATAGATACACACAGCTATTATATAGTGTACTTGTAGAAGTCAAACTTCACTGATGGGGTACATGAGACAAAAATGTCTAAAAGCTTCTTCTAGAGTGATGAGTAAAGAAATTTATCAAGGGGCTATACCCACTCCTAAACAATGGGGAGATACATGATACAATCTAGAATTATTTGGGATTTCATTACTGATAAACTACAAGAAAGGCTTGAAATTATGGGAGTCCATTCATCACAGCAATGGCATCCAGGTTGATAAAGGTGGCAAAAAGAAGTACAGTCTGTCCTGATTTCCCCTGCTACTCTCTCTTCCCCACTCCAACATTCTCCCACTTACCAGGGATCAGACATTTTATCTTCCTCCCTGTCCCACCTGCCTTCAAGGCCCAACTCTGGGAAGTGAGAAAGGAGTAAGAGCCCATGCCTTGCTCTGTCAAATTCTTGGCTTTGTGGGAAGGAAGAAGAGATAAGCAACTCTGGAAGCCCAGTGGCCTGTGGAGGGAACATACACTGGGAAAGATAAAAGTTCACGACTATGATTAAGCCTTAACTCCGTTAAGCACCTTAAATCCAATTTGTATTAGAATCAGTCTCTTGAGTTCCTCACCATCCCTCCACTACCTTCCAGCCCCCATCATCCCTTATCTCCTTTATTTTTTGACAGAATCACCTGAAAATCTAAGGGAGCCTTTGGCATGGTACCCTCCAGGAACCCTTTTTAGGATACCAAAGCTGCCTTGTCTACCTGTCCTGGGTACTACTCATCCTCCTGAGGATACCAAAGCCTGACTGATCTTCAATGGAAGAACTTGTTTCCAGTGAAGACTGCCTCAGTAGTAAAAGTAGGTCTCAAATTCAGGGTCACAGGCAAGGAGTTGTCTATGCATGGAACTTAAAAAAAACTTGTTTCCTAAATAAAGTTTTTAAAAACCCATCATTTTTCCTTTATAGCTTATGGAGTTTACAGGAGGGAAGAGGTGGCCATTATGAAGATCTCACTATCCATGAGACTGGCTCAATGATTCAGAGACTGGAACTATGGGGGTTAGACATAGTGAGGGCTTCTTGGAACGGTTCAGACTGTAGCCCCCAAATACAAGGTAGAGTTCTGACAGCCCAGGTGCCCTGTCCCTTAGTGGGCAGTAGAGCTTGGAAAATACTGCCTTCAACCATAGGAGAAGACTTTTGTACCTGGTTCATAGTGCTTCTCCATTCTCCAGCTCCTTCCACCATTCAGGTGATATGATTGTCCACATGGATAATCAAATATCTGGTTCCCCAAGACATTGACTTCTCATCCACAGGAGCCATCATCTTCTCTCCACTTCAACCACCCACTCTATGAACTTTAGTAGATCACAAAGCCCCTCTGCTGTCCTGAACACAAACATCTATCTTGCTGTCTGACTAATCCCCAGTTCACCCTTTTCTCTCACCACCCCTCCCTAGATACCTGGATCACCATCAAACATACAGCAGCCACCAGGAAATTTACTTAAAATTACACCCTCATTCATGGATTTGAGACTCCTAATGAGACACCCCCATTGCTCCTCAGTCTGTCGCACATTCTCATCTTTCTTCTCTAAGTCTGCTTAGGCCCCACAGTCCAACTTTCTCGCTCCTCTGCACACCTACTATGCTGAGAATATAGTAATGTTAGGCACTGAGAAGATAGTAATGAAGATCTCAACTCACATTCACTGCCCTTGGTCCTTACTCCAAATCCAAACAACAGAAGCCAAACCTTGGAATAAGCCAATACTCATCTCTTTGGTTCCTATACTCTGATTACTGAGCCCTGTGCCATGTTCTCCCCCAAATCAGGGTCTACATCCTATACTGGGGTCTCCTACTTGCTCAACATCCTTCCATAGTCCCTACCCTATGTCCTGTCTAGACATCTTCCTTCTCCCAGGCACTCATACAAACCCTCCCTTCTCACTCCTTCAGAGTCTGGGTTGCCTGAGTCAGTGTTTAACTCCCTCCCCTTCACTGGCTCCTAGCAATCTCCTTCCTCCAGAAAATAACCCCTTGTCCCTGCACCTCTCTTTAGATACCTACCTCTTTCTTGTTTCAGCCAAATTTCTCAAAAGAAGTCCATACATCATGTGCAGCCTCTTCTACCGCTGCTGTTTCAGACTTTCCCTCTTCTCTAAAGAGTGTCCTCTGTGCCAATAACCCCCAAGGCTCCACCTCACAGAAACCCTGTCTGCCCTATAGGCTAGAGATAGAGCCCAACTTCTTCCAGAGAGATATCTTGCTCCTAGGAACCCAATGTCACCACACAGAAAGCAAAGACTGATATGGCCACTTTCCCACTTTCTTTTAAAATGTGATGACAAAATGTCCCAGCCGACCTCCCAAAAATGCAATAAACTCAGAAACAGCAAATAGATTTAATGCAGTGTCAACTTCAATTGATTGATAGTGGCTGCCTAGAGTGCTGTTTTGAGTAGATTTCTGAGAGTACACCCTAGCTTGAAAAAAGACTTCTGGGATTAAGGATAGCTGCAAACACAAATTAAAAAAAATCAAAAAGTCAATTGACAGCCACCAAACAGGAAGGAATAAATGCCAAAAGCAGTGTCTTTGTACACTCTCCATATCATTTCCCACCCTGGGTTTCAGCTTTTCATCCCATCCCCACGAGCCTCAGCTGCCTCCACTGAAACCATGGCAGATACCTGAAATCTCATTTATAGGAGAAACCACAGGCACCAGAGTTGCCACTGGTACTGGCACCAGCTCCACCAAGGCCAGTAAAAAGCCCAAATGTTAGAGTGGCAGTCAAGCTAGCACCAGCGCTGAAGCCACCACTAGCACTAGCGCCAGCACTGGTACTGGTACCAGTGCTGGCACTGGCACTGGCACTAGCACCACCACTCTCTTGGGCTTTAGCTTTATCTTCAGCTCCTGCCTGGATCCGGGCTTTGGCCCAGGGTCCAATATCAGCTTCATCCCAGTTGCAGGGCCCAGCAGCATTCTCAGAGCCAAGCCCAATGCCCATTTGTGCTCTGATCTCAGCTCTTGCCTTGGCTTCAGCTGCAGCCTCAGCTGCAGCCTTCAAATCTGCTTCCATTGCCTCTCGGTACTGAGCTGCCCATTCCTTGGGGTCCTTCTTTTGTACCTGAAATGGAAATAACAACCACTAGAAAGATCATAATCACAAGATTAAGTACCTACTATATGCTGGACACCATGCTACATGCTATATGTAATAGGTAGCAGCACAGTAAGTAATAACAGTAATTCTGCACCTAATATTCCATCCCTGTACTTGTACTTTAATTAGCCACATGATTTGAACATGTCACCTACAAACCTCTCTGGGACTGTTTTCTCATATGCAACAGGGCAATGCCATATGAGTTCTAAGGGCAATATGCTCCAGATAAAATACCTGTCAGTATTTGGCAACTAACAGAGGCTTCAAAATGTTCAAAAATGAACTGCAAGCTGCTCAGCACATGACCTGATCCAGCTAGTGGTACCCCATACTCCCGATACTCCAAGCTCAGGCAGCTCTCTAATTACCTTGCAGGCAAACTTGAGGACTTTCATCTTGCTGGTCTCATAGTAGGAACGTAAGCCCCAGAAGAACTCATACTCAGGGGGATTGCTATTGGGGACTCTAGCATAGTCCAGGTACCTTGAAAATAGAAATTCAAAGTCTTTACTTCTAGGACTACCAACGGATCACCCATGAATACGCTAGGCAAGCTCAAGTGTCCACCTCCCTCACTAATACTATATAGCTTTGCCCCCATTAGTGAGCCTTGTCACATTGGTACTATCCAGAAGCCATGTGGAAGTACATGGAGTACATGTGTAGGATATTTGTTCATAGGGAAGTCACAAGTTTTGTGCCCCTTGTCACAATGACCCCAGATTCCTGTTGGGTGTGTTGTAAACAGAGGAGCCATTCTTTAGGCCACCTGCTCTGGGCACACCCCATGGTAAGGGTCCTCAAGGAGGGCGGGCCAAGCTTTGAGCAAGATCCCCTACAGAAAAGATTGTAAGGGAACAACAGTCAACCATGAGTAGTATGTGCCATGTACATTCCTGACCATGTGTGCTGCGTGTGTTGTGCACATGTGCGTGCGCTCACATGTATATGTTTCTGTGTGTGCTTGTGATTGTGTGAGTGCTTTATACTTTTGCTATGATGAAAGAAAGTGAAGAAGGGTGGACTCTAGGCCTAAATGAGCCTTTTATCAACTGTGGGCCATGCGCAAACATCCCCTCTCAGAGCCCTAACAGTTATTCAACTGTTAAAGGCATGTTGGACAGCATTCTGCAGATTAGTTTTGGAAATGAAATCTGATGTACAAATCAAGTCCCCCACATGGCTGTGTGAAGCTACCATTCTAGGGCATTTTTGATGGAAAAATTTCTACGAAGCCCTGCATAAAAGCACAATAAAAAGAACCAAGTCACTGAACCTATGTAATCGTGAGCAAATGATTTCACCTCTCTGAATATGTACCTGGATATAAATGATAAACCCTCTTGCACAGCTGTTCTGAAGATACATGTGAGAGTCCACGTAAGAGAACAGTAAACATGCAGCTATTATTTGGTATCACGGTCCCCAGAAATAACCTAGCACCTGCAAGCATGCACACACACCTACACACATAAGCATGCTTTACCACTCAGTTCTGAGGCAGGAAAAATGCATGGAATACACCAAAAACACTTACTTTTGTTTCACAAACTCATCAGTAATGAGCTTCTTCACATCCCCAAAAAGTGAGTGATGTATTCTGGGGAGAAAAAAATGAACAAATACATACAACCAGGGCTGTGGCACTTCTCAGATACAGTAGAAACTTCCAAGATGAAAAGAGGTTTCAGCAGATGGGGAAGCTCCATAGAAGCTCAAGAGACAATGAGAAGAGGAGCAGAGTTCAGGACCATTTCCCCATCCACCCAGGTCAGAACTCTGGGGCCTTTACCCAGCCCAAGACCCCTGTCTGCTCCACCAGACCACCAGGTTGATGTAATCCTGGGACCGTCCTCTCTTGCCAAAGGACAACATGGACAGCAAGCGCTGAGAGAGCCCAATCATACCCAGGGCGCAGCCCCAACTTGCGCAGCACCTCCCAGATGACAGCTGCAAGGGGAGGCAAGAGAAAGGGGTAGAAAATGAGCATGTGGAATTCAGACCATGGCCACCCATTTGGCTGCACACTCAACCACTCACCCTCACTGGACCGATTTCCATTCATGAAGATGATGCTAAGAAGCACCATGAGGAGACCCAGCTTGGGTGAGTCCTTGGTCCTAATGAAATAATAAGACAGAAAGTTTTGTCAAAGTGTCATCTTTAAGATATACCAGCCAGCTCACTGGGCTAGCATCTCCCAGGTACCTCAGACATGGGGGAATTCTGCCCAATCTATGCATCAAGCTCTATGTGAGCCCAGGCAAGGTACGGAAGCATCATGAGCCACAGTCTCCTCATCAGTAAGATAGGAAAATCACATTCTACTTCATCCCCAGGTTGCCAAGAAGATGAAAGGATGCCTGTCAATCTGGTACAATACAGACACCCAGTAGATATTAGTTTTTCTTTCTTAGAGCCCTCAATCCTGAAACATTTTTAAGTAAAGCCCCAGTAACACACCTACCCTTTGAACTTCAGGATCCAATCACATCAGGAAGCTTCCCTTGAGAATCACTCTACCCATGACAGGCCTCAGTAGGAAGAGATGGGTACCAATAGGCCTGCTTTCCAGGGAAGCTTCAGGATACACACAAACCTGACAGCAGGAGTGTCCCATCCCAGGCTTTTGCACCCTTCAATCATAATAAGGCACTACTACTGTATGCAGGGCCCCAACCACATGGGAGAGCTGGGGCAGAGCCTTTGTAGGCCCTCTTTCTGACTAACAGGGCGTCAGAAGAGAGGGCAGAAGTAGTATCATGGATGCAAACAGAAATCCCCCTCCCACCCAGTCTTCTTCCAGCTTACGTTCCCAGTATGCCTGCATCGGTGGGCTCTAAGGTGCTGAGAAGAATGTATAAGTGGTCATTCTTATCAATTTCTTTCAACTGAATCCCAAATACCTGTGGGTGGGGAGAATAGCATGTAAGATCACAAAATTCAGCTTTTCAGGCATCCTGAAGCATGTAAAGCACACAGCTAAGTACCTAGCACACAGTAAACACACAACAAATGTACTGTTGTCATCTACATCATTCTTGAGATTTTTGGGAATCTAGGGAGACAGAAAAGTGAGCATCTGAATACACAACAGGATATATCCAGCAGCAAACAAGCCAGGACTAAGTTAGGTACCTTGAGTCCTGGCTGTGCTCTCACCACTTAATTGCTGCATGACCCATGGCTGGTCTATGGCCCTCCCTAGGCTACTATCTGTCCATCTGCACAGTGATGGGGCTGTATTAGTAGGTCTATTTGGTTCCCCCCAGAAGGGACATTGGACACCTTTGTTCCACTCAAGGTTTCCCCAGTGTGCCCATCCCCCAGGGCTGCCCCTTCACCTTCTCCAAGGAATAGCCTGCTCGTTCAATGATTTCAGGGTACACATCAGTGTATTCTTTGATGATGTCCTTCAGCATGTCTGCAAGGGGAGAGTGTTGCAAGCACCTGGGCTGAAGACTTGCCAGATCGCCCTCATGCCCAAGCTATAGACCCTTTGTTGACCACGCCATGGGTGACTCAACCATGTTCTGGGCTTATCAGTAGAGATACTAGCACTACCAAATTAGAATTTTGGGAAAAGAAAGATAGGGCCTTATCAATAGAGATGGTAGCACTACCGAATTAGAATTTTGTTAAAAGAAAGGTAGGGCCATAAGAGTGAGGGGATGCCCAAAGTAAATGGGAGAGTGGGCAATGTAGGGCAGAGCTCAGGAAAGGAGGAAATTTGGTAGGAATCTACCTGAGCGCTTGATGGGAATCTTTGTCTTGTCTTTAGCCAACAGGTACTTCACCAAATCATTCGCCTGGGACAAGAAGAACAGATGGAAACCTTAGTGGACAGCAGAGAAGAGGGCTGGCAAATGAGTGGAAAAGGCAAGATGAAAAGGATGGCGTTCTTACCCTTCCTTGCAAAAGGGCCACATCTCGAGGTGGCGGTGCTTCAGGCTCTTGGGATGACTGGAGCTTGGCAGCTCTACGGCGGGCCTTGCCCCTACGTGCTTTAGGTGACCTCAGGGAAAGCAGAGCTCTCCGGGCCCAAGCAGCCAACCGAGTCCTTGATGCCCTGCGGGCCCAAAAGGCTATGGGCCCCCTTGAAGCCCTTTTGGCCATTGAAGCCATTAGGGCCTTTGAGACCCTTCGGCCACCTGTGGTTCCAGAAGTCTGACTCTGATCACTGCTGCCGTCCTCTTCCTCTTCCAGATGTTTCACCTGCATCAACAAATACAAAGCTCAACATTACCAGGTGAAGCAGGTAGTCCTTCTTCCTCATCCTCCCTCTAATCCTGCTCCTGTAGTAACAGCCTGACTTGATAGACACTAGCTATGCCATGCAGAGAACTGGATTTATTTCTCACTGATTTCCAGTCCAGAACGCCATCCTCCCAGTTCATCAGAAGCCTGAGGCTTTTCCTCTTTCTGTATCCAGTACTGGCTCTGTTTGTGACACACAAGTTACCTTTCTCAGTATCGTTCTCTATAAAACTAAAACAGTAAGATTTATTTTCAATATTTGATGATATAACCTGTGTGAATGTGCCTAGGTCAAGGGCTAACACACGAGCAGATGTCATGTCAACATAAATTGCATTACATTAAAATAGCAGCTATGTGTATTGCTGTCTCACCTCCCACAAGTCTGTGAGGTCTCTGAAGTCAGGAATTATATCATATTCTTCTCAGGCTTTGATCAGTGAAGGGAATCTTTCTAAATGTTTATACAATAAGTGAACCAAGTGAAAAGAGAGGAGCAGAAAAGCATGGGTGGTGAGTGCGGAGGTCTTACCTTTCGGGCTTTCTTGGCCTTGACCTTGGGCCGAGTATCCTGATTCTCCTGAGCCTGGGCAGTTGCACCTTCATGCTCAGGTTCATCTGCCTGAGACTGAGAAGCAGCTGCCTCCGTCTCTGAGGCCTTTGTATTGACCTTCATATCAGCCACACAGCTGACCTTTTTGGTCTCAGTGGCAGGCACTGTCGCAGCCCGCAGGTCAGTATTCTGTGTCTTGGTGTCAGCTGCTGGACTCTTGTTTTCAGCTGTCGGAACCTGAGTATCAGTCAGCTGTGTGGTAGGTGAGGACTGGTTGGCAGGTGCCTCCTGAGCCTCTGGGGCCTTTGAGACCTTTATGGCCTTTGAGACCCCTAAGGCTTCTGAGACTTTTGCAGCTTCTGAGATCTCTGGTGTCTTTGAGACCTTTGGTGTCTCTGAGACCTCCAAATTCTGAGTCACTATCAACAGGGTCTGCATCACTGAGCCACTGTCCTTTTCTGAAGCTTTGGTCTGCAAGGGGAAACAAGAAACCTTACTGACCTCTCCACCTAGAACTAAGCAAATTGCTCCAACATTAAGTCCACACTTGTCAGGCCTGTACTCATTCCTACTGCAGTGTGCCCTGAACACCTCAGCCCAATAAGGCTTCCCCTTCCTCTGAGCAAGAACTGATGGTGGAAGAGGTGCCTACCCACTCTCTTTCCCTTCTTTCCTCCCTCTCTTCCTCTCTCCACTGTGCATGTATTGGGGGCAGACATCCAAGCAAAGAAGTGCATGGAGAACGACAAGTGAGATGAGGGAATTGCTAAGGGATGTGGAGCAGCAACAGGGGCTGGAGAGAGGACAGAAAGAGGCCTTACCTGGAAGCAAGCTGAGCCTGCACCACTGTCGTTTGTGTCAGACATGTCTCAGGTTGGCCTGGCAAGAGTTGAGCCTGATGGGGAAAAGGCCTGGGTCAAGTGCTGAGCCTACTGAATGTCCTCTCTCCAATCTTGCCTAGGTTAATCCTCACTTTCCCTAGAGCCTCAATCCCCAACTCCTCCCCCACCCCGACGACTTTTGTTTTCAGATACAGAAATCCAAAGCGTCTAGGTCTCAGTTCTCTGCAGCCGCACCCTCCCTTTCTCCAGGAAGATGTGCCAGCGCGGCAGCTCAGAGGACCCCGCCCCTTTTCCCAGTGCACACCCCCAGTCGCAAGTCGATAGTGCGCATGCGCGTCTGCTGCAGGCCCCATCTCCTCCCCGCTTGCTTTCCACAAGTCCTTTCTTTGAAGTCCACCATGCACATGCGCGTTCTGCAGCTGGCCTGTTTGGCTGCTGGCCCTTCTCAACACGCCCCTTTCTAGCGATACACGATGCACATGCGCAATGGTAACAGTCTCAATACAGCACCCTGTCCAATACACGCCCCTCTACAGGTCCGCAGTGCCCTTCTGTCCCTCCCTCTCCCCAAAGAGCCTCCCTCTCAAATTGTCGCTGAGTCTGGTGGTCCCAGCCCCTCCCCTACTCTCACTCAACCAAGTCCACTGGGTCTCCTGATTCTGTCCTTTTTTCTAATAAGCCCACCTCCAAACTAGGGAAAATGCATCTTGGTTACGCCCCTTCCCAATTACACCCTAGCCCCCTCAAATCAGTATTGAACTAGTAATTCCATCTTAGGCCCAGCCAAACCAGGGCCAGTTCCCTCCCTTCCCAGCCGGATGGATCCGGTACAATCCGGTCCTTGTGGCAGGTTTTCTCCAGATCCCAGAAGGTGGGGCCGACCCCTAGCGGGCTCTCATCCAAAGCTGGACTCCGCAGCTCACCTGAGATCCTACAATTCCCGAGTAGATCCACTCTCCAAGCCTTTCGGAAACTCCGAGACCGCCCTTCCCCCTCCAGGCCGGAAGTGGTCCCGCCTCTTTCCGCCTCCCTAGGGGGCCTCCCTTGGTCCCAGCCTGTGTGCCCCTCCCCCGCTCCCAGCTCCTCATTCCTTATTTCCCCCTCCCAGTTCCCTTTGCCTCCCTCCCTACTCCCATTCCCAGATCGCTTTTCCTATTTACCTCACAGAATTCCAATTCCCATTCCTTACACCCTCCTGTGTTAGCTATGCACACACTCCCCCAGTCTTCCTTAACCCCTTTCTCCATCCACTAGTCTCTTCTCTGGATCTTCACGCCCCCCTCAGTATTTCCCTTTCCCCCACGTATTTCCAATTCCCCAACCAACCCTGGGGTCCCCCCCCCACTTTTTTAACTCCACTGGTCTCTGCTTTCCAGTCCATATACAGTACAGCCTACTACTTTCCCAGTCATCTTTATTGCCTACACCCCACACCGGATCACCTCTGCTCCAGCTGCAATGGTGAAATATGAATTGCCCACCTGGCTGGCTGCGGGTTCCAGGAGGTTAGAACTCCTGTCTGGCCTCCAGAAAACCCTAATATCAACACCTCTCACCTTATCCTCTAGCGAGTCCAGGGTATGTCTGCCTTTGCTCAGTC